GAGATAATAACACTGCCCTCACAGGAACTGTTGAGGGGATGAAGTTCACATACATGATGTGCTTTTGTGTCCCTGCCCTTTATTGTCCCTTTTTTCTGTCCTTGGGCTAGCTCTATGGCTCTTTTGTCAAGCTCCTGAGTTGAACACTGAACTCACTTTTAAAAATCTGTCTTGTTTTTCTGATAAATGTATTTAAGCCTTAGCTAGGTCTTACCAAATTTGGCATGTAGTATTTTTTGAGGTTATGTACTTTTAGGAATTTTGTAATTTTCCTTATCATTTCCTCTTTCACCTAGACTCCTCCTAGGTTCCTCCTGTTTAGTCCCCAGACGTGTGACAACTTTTCCAATTTATTTTGGGTTTTATTGCATTATCATAGAACAGTTGTATATTGTCTTTAGACTTTATGGAGGTGTCCTCTGTGGCCTGGTACATAGGCTGTTTTCCTTTAAGTTCTACGAGTGATCAAAAGGAATTTGTCTATTGGGTGTAATAGACTATGAGTCCACGTTAAACAACAGTGGCATTCCAGCCTTCTAGATCTTTGCTCGTTTTTTACCTGCTTGACCAGTCAGTTTCTGGGAGTGCATTCACATTCCCACTACATTTTGTCTTTCTCCCTAGAGTACCATCAATCATTTTACACACACACACACACACACACACACACACACACACACACACACGCTGATTCTTTAGGTTTCTCTGAAATGTGGATACATTTACCCACATGAATCATACTCATTAAACACTACTAACATGTCGCATTTGATAAAGTATTTATGTACATGTCTTTGTCCATAAAGTACATGCATATGTCATGTATATGTGAGTTTATAGACATTAAAAATCTAGTTGCTTGTAAAAAAATCAGTGAAATTTGTGACTATGTATATCATAAACATTTGTACGAACATATGCATGTGTCTATGGAGGTATGCATACACACCTGTATATATGCCAAACAGAGCAAGAGGGTACACACCCTGCAGGACAACCTGCCTGGTACCCAGTGCTGGTGTCAGGGGGATTAGAAGATTCCAGAAACCAGACACCAGGGTGCAAGGGCTTTTATTGGATCCTAGCTGGACAGTCCAGTAAAAGCCTTTGGGAAATCCCAGGGCCTGGGTATTAGGCCAGATGAGAACTCACAGATACGGAGGTCGGAGATCACTGACTGAAAAATGTAGATTCTAAGAAGCATGTGTAGTATGACCTCATTTAGGCAAAACAAAACAAAACAAAAAACCATCTAGGTGTGTATACATTCATAAAAAACAATCTGAAAGATATATACCAAGGTATCTTGGTCATCTCTAGATGAGGGAGTACAGTGTGTTTAGTTTCTCATTCTTGATTTTATATATGTACACACACATACACACATATATGCACACATATACATATGCACACACACATATATGCATATACATACACACATATATAGCTTTCCCCAAAATAGGGAGCTGACAAGAGGAGAGGAGGCAGAGAAAGTGAATATAGACTGTTCTTGCTTTCTGTTGTAAAGGGGAGCAACTCAAGGGTGATGCTGGGTTAAGAGCATTTTCTTTTTAATGTGGGTGACATAAGGCAGAAGAGACTGGAGCGGAGGGGGAGTGATGGCAAAGGACGGAGGGTATGGCTGGAGTGAGAGGGTATGGCTGGAGTGAAGTTCCCGAGTGGGTGAAGACATGGGCTCCTTTGACAGGATGGCCTCATCACGTGGGGGAACGGGGGCCTGAGAGAGGTGGGCAGTGAGGGGAGAAGAGGGACTCCTCGACCCACTGCCTTCTATTCCTCTGTCAAGTATAGTCAGGGATCCAGCTTTGAGAATAAACACATACAGTGGAGTGTTGCTGCTCAAATAGTTATTTTTTATAGCATCTTTAGTGTGAGAATCTACTGCTTTAAAAACCCTAAGAAACCAACTTTGAAATGGAGAGCCGCCAAACTTAACTATTAGTGAAAGTCTGTATAAAGTTCTAGCCCAGAATAAAATAAAATAAACACAAAAGAGCATGACTGCTATTGGTGGAAAAGAAAAACAAAGAAGCAAAAAAGGCAAGTGACAAACCTCTGAAGTCATACCCAGCTTCTGCCTGATGAACATGGTTTTGCAGTTGACAGGCCAGCCACAGGGGGCTGCTGGCATCAGGTCGCCCTGGCCTTTGTGGAATCACAGTCACACAGACTTCAGAACAGGTCAGTTCCTTTTATTCAGATGGAGACAAAATGAGGCCACCAGGTGCTTCTGCCCTGCTCCCTTACCCACTCACTGACCTGCACACACCAGGACAACTGGCCAAAGGATATCAAAAGTGCGGGTAAGGAAAGGAAGGCTGGTGCTCACCACCTGCTCCTTCCAAGAGAAAATAAACAAGGCACTGAGAACCAGTGCATGGTGCCAAATTCATTTCTTGACATGTGACTAGTAGGTAGATCAGAGAATGCTGCTGGGTTAAGCATGGTCATTTCTGTGAGGTGCGCAGCGAGATCGTTCTTCCTGACCTTATGGCATGACAACACTGCACACAGGCTGAACAAGGACACTATTAAGGGGCTCCACCGAGGTGACAAAGCTCTGGTCACATGGGTCCTGACACTGCGATTGCTGGGGTCTGCCTTAAAGCTCTGTCCTGCCACTCAAGGCTGTTAATTGTCACTCGCATGACTTTTCAGAAGGGGTGGTCAGGCTCATAAAACTGATAGATGTCACAAGCGGGCCAAAAGAATACACATGAAGGATGACAGAATCAGGATTAAGTGCCACGTCATGGAATCCAGTATTTCTAGTGGACCTCGGACTCCAAGCGTGACATGGCTGTTATGGGAAGGCCATCTCCAAGTGTGACATGGCTGTTATAGGAAGGTCAATTAGTTGGGGGACCTTGTTTGGACAGCATGCTGCTCAGGCTGTATCTGGAATATTACAGTCCCTTCTGGGCCCATATTTTTAGGGTGCACTGAGCTGGCAAGGTTCTGGGGTTTTTCATGTGAAAGGATTGGAATTTAAGTTTAATCTAGAGAAGGGGACACTTGGAGCTTGCCTTTCCAACTAACATATTAAAGCCTGTCTCATAAGGTGGGTCCCACTCACTCTATTTCACCCAAAGGCAAGGCCTGGGGCCCATGGATGGAAGTTATGGGAACTGGGTTTCAGTTCAGTTTGAGAAAGAACTTTCAAACAGTCAAAACTACAAAAAATTCAGTAGTAAGGGCATACCCTTATGAAAACCATCTGAGCAGGGGCAGGTGACACCTTCAGGTGGATTTCCCAAATGGAGGTGTGAACCCAAAACCTTCTCTGTCCAATTGCACTCTTTATGACATCTAAGTGTGCAAACGAAATGAGTTTTAAAGCATGCTTATAAAAATTCTAAGTCTCAAGGAAGTTGTGGGAGAAGGGGAGAAAATATTGGCGAATCAACAATTTAAAATAGGGATTCAGCTAAAGTTAAGACTTTATTTCAAAGCTCCACACAGAATAACTTCTTTAAAAGAGCTGTACTTACTTTGATGTTTCCATTTAGTCTTCACTACAAGCCTCCAAGGCCTACCTGTCAATCGTGCACTGTGCTGCACGTGGAAGGAATGATGGACGCGACCCACCTCACTGTGACAAACCCCTGTTCTTTTGAGCACTTAGTAAGAACACCGACCAGTGCTAGGGTTCAGAGTGAAGATGTCCTTATTTACACCCCAGATCTGTGTGCAGTGTCAGAGCTAGTGAGAGTGAAAAGGCCCCAGAACCACCGCTCCCCCCCCGCCCCCGCAGGCTCTGTTTTCTGCTAAGAACATAAGCATCTAAGAGCTGCTTCTAGAAAGGCGCTCTCACAAGGCATCTATCAGGGTCCAGGATTCTTCAGAAAGGTTGGCAATGTTTGGTGCTCATGGCATTTATCTTGGGAGAGGGTCACAGTTCTCATCAGCATCTCAAAGGTGTTTGTGACCAAAGAAGAGTGAGATCTGTACTCAGGGCAGACCTCAGCCCTTCCTGATCTGGCAGCTGCAGCCTCCGGGTTGTTGTGTGGGGTGGGAGGTTGGAGAACTGATTCTGATTTCTGCCCAACTCTAAAGCGCCAAGACAGAGGAAGGATGGGTGCAAACACCTTTGCTCACAAGGACCCTGGGCCCCAAAGCCTTGACCTTTCAAACTGTGAAGGAGCGTGCAGCCCCAGGCCTTGAAGGGACAGCAAATGACAAGTTCCCAAAGGCCATGACAGGGGCATCTCTCTTAAATCATGGTCACATAAGGCCTCGAGGTGATGTGACTGGTCACTCTGTCACCGTTATTACTGACTTAGTTACCATCTTTCCTGACTAAGAACAAAACACATCAAAGAACTGCCTTATTGTCAACGGTATCTTATGCTCAAATTCACCCAAGTAGCCATATCCGGTTATCATGAAATATTACCTGTCTCCCCACCAGAAACCCCCACCCACCTACATGTACCAGTTGAGTCGATAAATAAAAAGTATTTCAGCACTGTTCACATTGAGAATGGGAAAGGGAAAGACAGAGAAGTGGAGCCCAGACCAATATCAAGAGATGTTTCCCTTCTCCAGAGACCTTTACAAAAAAGGCTGATACTCATCCATCTTGAAAGACTCTAGCCCTTTTAAGCAAAGGAAAGGAAGTGAGACATTAAGGACCCTTCTACTCCTGTGGTTTTAAGTAGCCAATGTCCTAAAGTGCCTCAAAACCCAGTGTGAAGGCCAAGGGCTCAGCCTATGCACGCTCCACAAGCACACGGGCATTGGGCGGGCCTTTAGGTAAAACCAGGACAGGGCGACTGGTGGGGTCTCCAGGCCACACCTTGTGAGAAACAACGACACCAAGACTCTGAATAGTTGATTTTGTACTGCATGATTTTCAAAACATAGATTCAGGAATTTGCAGAATATTTTCAGTAAGAGATCTAACAGAAATGTTTTGCCTTTCAATTTGAAGACATTTGCTATTATTGACTGAAATGATGACACGCCAACAATCCACCTGTGTTCATGTTAAATCTGTAATCAGAGATGGCGATGTACAAATATACAGTCAATCGTCACTTAAAAACACACAAGAATTGGACATGCTCTATACTTCTCTTTTAAAATGTATCTGTATTATTTTCACCAATCAAAACACACATAATAGATTTTATTATAAAACATTAGGCAATGTTACTTCTGAATATGCAATCTGTATTCACTACCAGTGTGAAATGCCGGAGGCTTTAAATACCAATCAACCTGACGGCCTCACCCTTACCACCGTGCGCAGGACAGCGACAAATCTGTATGAATCCAGCATTGCACTCAGCCTTTTAGTAGGGACCGTGGCTGTCAGCGACCAGCGATGGGCCCCCAGGGGTTTCTCCTTTCAGCCCTGCTGCTCGGAGTTTTGCGTCCCAAAGATAATGACAGAGCTGTGCTCGGGACTCCAGGACCATAGCTGATCAGCACTGAGCAGCATGTGCTTCTAGAACGCTCTCCTACTCGGACAGATTCTGTCTGCTCTCTGGAACCTGTACTTGAAATCAAGACCCCACACAAGGGAGGAAGTCATTTCCGTTTTGACCGAAAACGAAGCCAACAAACAAAATAAACCTAGTCCAAATTCCAGGCTAATAAATTACCTGGTTTATAAAAATATGTGTCCAAAATAGTTACGTCCAGGGTCGTGTACAATATAAATTACAAAAATAAAATAGAGAAGATGAAAAATTGAGCACATTTTCAGTTCTCATCCACCTCAGCATTCGTCCATCATGACCAGTTCAGAACCACGTGCCTGGCACCAGGACCAGCACGCCTCGTCTGGGAGGGCGCCCTGGGGAGGGCCAGGTATTCCCATGGAGCTCTGTGCCTGCAGCCCTAGGCGCACTGGCCACTACCTGATGGAAGGCGGTCCTGGCAGGAAATCCGCCCACACGTATGCGGGCTCCTCTGTGAATGCAGGGAGGAATGAGTGAGCAGGTGGCCAACTTGTGGGCTCCTGGCTGCACTACTAATAGCGCCTGGTAAGTGGGACCTTGATGTGCCCTCAGCACCCTGTGCCACGTTTACATGAGCCTAGGGTAGATAATGCATTTTAAAACTCTCCCCTTTGTTTTTCTTTTTAAAGATAGATTTAAAGAATGTTTAGAGAATGTAGATTTAAGATGCTTTTTCATGCATTGTGATAACTGCTCACTACACCATCAGGCCGCCCCAAATGAAACTGCCCCAAGTCCTACAACAGGCGTTTCTACTTCAGTCCAAGTCAGTGTTTCCATCTTGCCCTTAAATGTATCTAAACCTTACAATATTAAACTATTTATTATTTCAACATTAATTTTGCTCATCAAAGGTCCCACTTTCCAGGGATAAGACCAACCAATGAGATACAACTGGTGCAGAGAGAATCATATATTGTAGATAATATTTATAATAAACTTTCTTATCAAAATTCCTCCTCAGAACAATTCTATAGACTGTTGACCCAACAGCTTCCAAAACAATTAAACACAAGATATGAACCTGGAACAGAATAAGCACAAGGGAAAAGCACTATTAGCACAGGAAGCCAAACTGTGACCGTAGTAACCCCACTTCTTCAGTGACACTTCAATACAGAGTATCTCAGTGAATTTTGAATAATTTCTACATCGAAGAGTCTGAAAGTATCAATTTCAGGTGAGCAGTTTTAAATCAGGAAATAGTCAATAGTTAATCACTACTCTTTCAGGCGTTTCTTCCACATCCCTCTGAGTTTTACCCGAACATTCACGGATTTCCCTGAGGAAAAGGAGACGCCTCCCCAAAGTGGAAAACCACAAGAAGCAGGTGTTCACAATCAGCCTTGCTTCCTAAAGAAGACCAAAAGGGATTCACGTGGTTTCTCTCAGTAAAGAGAGAAAATTGAGTAAGAACTTTGTGTTGGCAAGGGAAACACTGCCTGTGAAGTCACAAATACCTTGAAGGGCGGAAGATCAAAACAGACCCAGCCTCGCCTGGGCCAGAGTGGGCACTTGGTCCAGTCTGTGCCTGCGATCACTCCTGTGATCATTTCGTACAATTCTACTCTAACAGCACGAAATGGATTCAAGGATCTATCTGCCATCAGATTACTGAAATGAACTGTTAGGTGGCTAATATAGAAAGTGAATTTCTAAGTAGCATTTTAAATTAATAATAAGTCTAGAAGACCAGGAAAAAAAGGAGTTAAGGTAGATCGGATTTTAAAGGTTTACATGTTTTAAGCAGCACAAAACGAAACTTAAAATTTTACCATGCAATAAAACTGAATGTACAACCATCCCAGATTAAGATGATTTGAAGAGAACAAATGTGCATGTAAGTGTCCTGGCTTTAGCAGGGATAATTCTCAGCCCCAAACATGACAAAGTTTAAAAAAGTTCTATTTTTTATTTATTAAATAGATTTAATTATATTCCTTCTGAAATACAAAAGATAGAATAAATCATACCATAAAAGAAGGTAAGATGATAATATGATGGTGGCCAATTACTACACATAAATCTATTTTTTTCTGGATAGACACCAAAGTACTTAAGAGGATTAAGAGATAATTCTAGAAGCAGCACTACCTGGAAGACTATTTGGCATTTAAATACTGATTTCCAAAGTGCTAGATGGCAAGTCGGAGCAAGCATTTGTGGTCACATGCATATAAGTCCCAACAGTTACTGAGGATGAGAAATTGTCACTACAATTACTGCACAATTTAAAAAAAACCCATCCATTCTAATTGCTCACCTGAAATGACCTTGAACACAATCTCTAAAAGCGTGGTTTGCACTTTTTTCCTTCAGATACAACCTGCATCATTTTATAATCTATGCAGGCAACCCTATTAGGACTGAGCAGGGGCAAGGCATCGTGTTTCTTACATGCAGAACATGGAGTTTTTCTATTTGGTTCTGTCAACTCCCGAGCATTTCAGGCCCATGGAGGCAAGACTTCCTCCCTGATAAAAACTTGCTATTTCTAACTCATCATCGACAACCTTCAAGGGGTCCCGTCGAGGCGTCGAGACTGCTGTCTGTGTCTGAGGCCAGCGTCTGCTCAGTGGACATGGATGAAATGTCATTGATAGATGACGACTGAGAAGGAGTGGCGTGGCTGCTCACTGCTGCATCTGTGCTAAGAGAACCACACATCATGAAACCTGAGGCACGCACGAGACGCTGCACACCCAAGCAGTGAGACTTCAGGCCACTCCCCGCTCTGTCCGTAGTACTTTCCTATCCTATTAGCATAGATAAGAAGTTAGTCAACAGTACATTTTGCACTTTTCCTGGAGTTTTTCTTTAGGCCCAGAATCCCAAACATCCCACTGTCTCTCCCTACAACACTCTCCTTTTCTCCCCAGTGGCTAAACATCATATATGTATTTATGTATAATCATGGTAACTACTTAAAAATACCTCCTGGTTTAAAAAAGATATTAAAAGGAAATTGCTTAATTTATCCTAAAATTGTCAGTATCTCAAAAGGCTTAAGCCCAAATAGGATTCAAGTATCATCAGACATTTCAATTCTAATCATAAACACTCAGTCCAAGGAAAAAAGCATTGAACTTTGAAGAATTCTGTTGCAATAAAAACTTTTTAAAATAAGGACTGTAAACAAAAAAGGAAAACTATACAGTGGCCTTTTGTTCATTTTATTTTTGTTTTAGAAATCCCCCAAACTGGCATTTTAAGGCAAATGAAACTATCCTATTTCCTACTACCCATATTTTAGTCTGGTTTGAGCAAAACTAAAATGTCCAGGTGCTCAAAGGTGCTTGCAGTCTTAAATTTGTGCTTAGTCAACAAAAAACACTGAAACTCGTGCTGAAGTAATATAACCTCTAGACGCTTGACACATGTCATATTGAATATAAAATTCAGGGATAAGCAGCAAGCAGTGCAGTCTGCACTTCTGCGTGTGCATGCACACTTTCCACTGGCAGTGGAGAAAAAAAATATAACTGAAGAGTTTCATTTGGTAAATGGGTAGTATCCCACAGACTCAAGTCAACACCACATGTTGTATCTCTAATGATCAGACGATTACTTTGTTGTTAGTCAGGCTTCGACCACAAAGTAGGTCAAGGAGAAAAATGGGACAACTGCATGAACAATTTTCTCCAAAGAAAACCAAATTCCATTTTACCTAGATTCACATTAATTTTCTTTCTTAACTGGGTGGGGCCGGTACAAAGAGGCTCACACACATTGAAAAGGCTTTAAATTCCGTTTCCTCTTCTATAAATGGAGCTGACAGCAAGTGTTGTGAGGATGAAACGCGAATGTTTATAACGAGGCTAGTTCCCTGCCTGGGACCTCAGTAATATGTTAGCTGGCACCCCAAGGACAAACCAAAACAGGAGACTAGTTCACACCAGGAGTTTTCAAATCCAGTGCTAGTCGAGCTGGCACTGAACACACTGCTGCCATTTAGAAGCTGAAT